TCAAGGTACAATTCAACAGTATGTCATATATATATTGCATTGCGTGTTCACCCCCCAAAGTTACATTTCTATCTGTCACCAAATATTTGATTCCTTTTATCCTTATCCACCTCCCTATAATAATCATGTCTTGCATAGCATGAGTCAATCCCTCGCCAAGAGTCCTCACTGGTTTTAGGATAAGATGTAACTATTGGACCTTAAGCTAAAAGAAAGCCTTCCCCTCCCTGACTTTGAGTCACATTACAAAGTCCTCATCACCTAACTTGTCTTGGGATTGCAATGGTCAGGGCCAAGGCAGTCTCATCAGTCCACTGTGCTTGTTTGCACCGTCCCTCCCTCCTTGCTTTACATCCTCTTCTTTCTAACTGCTGAAAAATGCGCCCCCACCCCATCTCTCTCCAGTGGCATCTGCGCTTAATTCTTTTCTTAAAATAAATTTATTTATTTAAATTAGTTTCAAGTATACAATACACTGGTTAAACATCTATATTGTTCATAAAACGATCCCCCCAATTGCTCCCTCCCTTCCTTGGCTCTCCACTTAGCCATCGTATTAATGCTAACTGCATTCTCTGTGTGTGCTCCCGATCCTCGTGCCCAGCTATCAACTACTAATTTGTACTTCTTTAATCTTTAATTCTTTTTATTTAAAATTTTATTATTTTTAAATTAATAAGCTTCATTTTTTGGAATAATTTTATGCTCACAGCAAAACTGAGCCAAAAGCACAGAGAGTTTCTAAATATCTCCTCCCCTGCCCCACACACAACCTTCCCGCCTACCAACATTTCCAGCAGTGGTGTTGTACATTCTATGGGTATGGACAAATGTATAATGACATGCATCCACCTTTGCCCTAAAAATCCTCTGTGCTCTTTCTATTCATCATTACCTCCCCCCAATCCCTGGCAACTACTGATCTTTGTTTTACTATCTCCATAGTTTTGCCTTTTCCAGAATGTCATATTTGGAATTATAAGATACATAGCCTTTCCTTCATGTCTCTTCATGGCTTGATTCAAAGTTCATATCTTTTTAGTGCTGAAAAATATTTTATTGTCTGATGTACCATTATTTATCTATTCATCTACTGAAAAATACCTTGGATGCTTCCAAGTTTTGGCAATTACAAATAAAGCTACTATAAACACACATGTACAGGTTTTTGTGTGAACATAAGTTTTCTACTCTTTGAGGTAAATATGAAGGGGTGTGATTGCTGGATCATATTGTGAAATGTTTAATTTTGTAAGAAATAGCCGACTGTGTTCCAAGGTGGCTGCACCACTTTGCATTCTGAGCAGTAATAAATGAATTTCTTTTGCTCCATGTCCCCACCAGCATTTAGTGTTGTCGGTGTTCCAGATGTTGGCCATTTTAATAGGTATGTAATGGTATCTCATTGTTCTTTTAATTTGCAGTTCTCCGATGACATAGCATTTTGACATCTCTTCATATGTTTACTTGCCATCTATACATCTTACCTGGTGAAGTCTATGCTCAGGTCTTTTGCTGATTTTGTAATCAGGCTGTTCATTTTCTTATTGTTAAATTTTAAGAGTCCTCTGTTTATTTTGAATAACAGTTCTTTATCAGATGTGCCTTTTGCAAATATTTTCTCCCAGTCTGTGGCTCGTTTCCTCATTCTCTTGATACAGTCTGCCACAGAGCAGAATTTTGTAATTTTAATGAAGTGTAGCTTATCAGTTCTTTCTTTCATGGATCATAACTTGGAGTTGTATATGAAAAGTCATCGCCATATCCAAGGCCATTGAGGGTTTCTCCTTTGTTATCTTCGAGGAGTTTTACATTTAGGTCTATGGTCCATCTTGAGTTAATGTTTGCGAAAGTTGGAAGGACTGTGTCTAGATTCATTTTCTTGCATGAGGATGTTCGGTTATTCTGATACCAATTGTTGAAAAGGCTATCTTTGTTTCACTGTGTTGTCATTGCTTCTTTGTCAAAGATAAGTTGGCTATGTTTATGTGAATGTATTTCTGGACTCTATTCTGTTCCACTGATCTATTTGTCTATTATTTTTCCTATTTCTGGGCTCTCTATTCTGTCCCATTGATCTATTTATCTATTATTTTGCCAACATCATACCGTCTTGATCACTGTAGCTTATAAAGTACTTAAATAAGTCTTGACACTGGGTAGTGTAGGTTCTATGACTTTGTTCTTCAATATTGAGTTGACTATTCTGGGTTTTTCAGCCCTCTAAGTAAACTTTAAAATCAGTTTGTTAATATCTACAAAAAATCTTATTGGGATTTTGGTTGGGATTGCATTGAATATATAGATCAAGTTGGGAAGAACTAACATCTTGACAATATTGAGTCTTCCTACCCATGAACATAGGATAGCTCTCCATTTATTTAGTTCTTTGATATCTTCCGTCAGAGTTTTTTAGTTTTCCTTATACAGTTATTGTACATGTTTTCTTAGAGTTATACCTAAGTATTTAATTCTAGGGGTTTGGTAATATAAATGGTAATGTGTTTTTAATTTCAAATTCCATTTGTTCATTGATGGCATATAGGAGAGCAATTGACTTTTATTCATTAACTTTGCATTCTGCAATCTTGCTAAAATTACTATTTGTTCCAGTTTTTTTTAAAAATCAATTTAGATTTGCTACATAGATGATTATATCATTTGTGAACAATGATAGTTTTATTTCTTCCTTCCCAATCTGAATATCTTTTATTTCTTTTTTTTGTCTTATTGAATTAGTTAGGACTCCCAATACGATGTTGAAAAGCAGTGCTGAGAGGGGACATTTTTGCCTTGTTCCAATTTTAGCTGGAAAGCTTTGAGTTTCTCACCGTTAAGTATGATGATAGTTGTAGGGTTTTTTTTTTCCCCTCTCTAATTCCCCCCCGCCCCCCACTTCCACCCCTGACCCATGGATGTTGCCATTTCCCCTTAAGAACTGGATCTCTGAAGGCGGGGTGTCCCCTACCACACGCTTGTGGTGTGCACCGGGGCCTGGTGCACCTGGGGCCAGGCGCACCTGGGGCCTGGCACCCCAGCGCACTTGGGGGGCCTGGCACACCTGGGGCCTGGCGCACGCAGGGTATGGTCTGTGGCTCCACCTGGGGTGCTAACCCAGGTCCTTCTGCATGCAAAGCAAGCATGCTAACCACTACACTATGGAGCCGTCCCCCAGCTGTAGGTTTTTATAAGTTAACATTTAAAAAAAATTTTAAATTATACTTGACATGCAACATATTAGTTTCAGGTGTACTACATGGTAATTAGACACTGAGGAAGTCATCACCCCAATAAGTCTGGTACCCATCTGACACCATACAGATCTTTTAAAAAAAATCTGAGGAAGATTCCCTCGATTCCTGAGAGTTTTTATCACAAATGGGTGTTTAATTTTGTTAATGCTTTTTTTTTGCATTGATATGATCACGTGGGATAAATACCACATTGTTGTGGTATATAATTCTTTTTATTTGTCATCATTTCCAATTTGCTAACTTTTTTTTTGAAGATTTTTGCATCTAATTTCATGAGAGAGATCATGTATAGTTTTCTTTTCTTATGATGTCTTATTTTGGTTTTGGTAGTAGGGTAATGATGGTCTTATAAAAGAAGTTAGGACGTATCCTCTCTGCTTCAATCTTTTAAAAGAGATTATAGAGAATTGGTAGAATTTCTTCCTGAGATGTTTGGTGGAATTCACTAGTGAACCCATTTGGGTTATGTACTTAATTCTTGATAAATGAATGCTGGGATTAAATGACTGTGGTTTAATATGGAGACAAGATTACATTTGGGGGCCTTTGAGGGTAAAGCCACAGCCTCCTACATATGGGACGGGCTTCACCTTCTGAGAGAAGTCATTCTCTATGTAGGGCAGGCAGTTTCGGCTCCCTGCTCCGATCAAAGATTATGTTTCTGTGAGAACTTCCTCCAAGACCACTACTCACTCACCTACAAGAGTGAGCCTGATCACTAGGTTCATATCATGTGACCCCCGTCCTTATCCTGTGGCTGTACTTGATTGGGTCAGAGATAAACAACTGACTGTAATTTGGACCAATCAGATTCTTTCTTCGGGGATTCAATATTTAGGAACAAGAAGCAGTCACCCAGTTTTTGCATAGAGTTGAAATTGAAGTACCTCGGACACGGGAGTTATGGACCAACTCTTTTTGGAGTTGTTACACAAGAGAGGTATAAAATTCTGCCTGCTAAGGGAGAAAGGTGAGGTGGAAACTGATCAAGTTGCTGGGACCAAGCACACAGAGTGGGGTTGAGGGGCCGTGGGGTGGAGATGCTCAGAAGACTCTGCCTGGAGTCCCAGGAAAGGACAGGGAAAGTGTGGGGGTATCACTACTATCCTCTTCAGAGGACCAGGCCTTGGATTGTGTTGGGGTGAGGGGAGGAAGGTGATGTGAGGGCGGAAGCAAGGATCCAAGTCTGGGCCGGAGCAACCAGCTTCCCAACATGGAGTACTGAAGGTCGAAGCAGGATTGGGTCCCGCCTGCCTCTGCTCCTCATCCCACTGCCCAGCCCTTCAGCTACCAGAGGAAAATCATGAATGGAATACATGGCTTTGCAAACACAAAAAGGCAAAGATTTTATTTAAATAGATTTTAACTAGAAGTAAACTGGAGAGTTTTATGTGCAAATGAATTTTGGTTTTTAACCAAGAGCCATCACCCCATTGTGTGTGTGTGTGTGTGTGTGTGTGTAGGTCAGTGTCCTCCTTGTGGGTATGTCTCTGTGAAAATCCATCCATTTATGTAGTAGGTCTTTATGGCCTCTTCCTGTATGCTTCTGTGTTTACTGATAAGGTGTGCTCTTGTCTTTATTATTATTAATTCTCATTATTCATTCTCTTTGAAGAATCGTGTAGCCTTCAGTCACTTTCCTTTTTCCAATCTTTCCAAAGCAAAAAGGTGCCTGGAAGTGGGCGGGGGAGGCTGGGGTGGATCTTGAGGTATCTTAGATAACAATTGCCCCCTTGGGATAAAGCCTCAGCTTTCTGAGTCCAGGGGGTAGGAGCACTGGGTCCTGTAGCTCCAGAAGCGCAGGACCACAAACACCGCAGTCCCCAGCAGCAAGAGGGCACCCAGGGTCCCAAAGAGGATCCCCAAGACAGCGCTGAGTTTCATGCTCAGATGCTCGCAGCGATCTCCCCAGGGCGTGTAGATGGAGAAGGGCACACAGCTGGGAACAGAGAGAGAGATCACAATCAGTAAGGGGGAGGAGGGCCCTTAGCCTCACCACTCCCTCCTCTGGGGGCCAGAGGAGGATTTCCACAGGCCTCCC